ATGGTCTAGCAAAGGTATGTGACAGAGTGTGAGGATGGTCTAGCAAAAAGTGACGGAGGGAAAGTGCAGTTTTTCAACAATGTGAAAAAAAAAAGAAAAGAAAAAGTAATCCAAGATAATAATAATTTAGTCCAGTGTCTTTCCGAGAATATAAAATGACTACTGGCTACTTTTATGACTTCATCTCCAAAACTGCCCTCTTCTTCCCTTATTTCAGCACCACTCCACTCCTCTAGTGTTTGATTCACTATTTTAATGTATCCTGTGAGTGAAAACTGTGTTTTTCCTCTTAAGATACATTTTGTATTTGTAACAAGTCATCTCTTTTTTCCCCCCCAGGCACTGGCAATAGCCAGTGCCAACTGAAGTTTGTCAACTTCGAGGATCATGAGAACCACAATTCCCATGAGACAGATGGGCTCAGCAAAAAGCACCTGGTGGTGCGGCGAGGGAAACCTTTCAAAGTCACTCTACTGTTTACCACCCAGACGTGGAATCCTCACAGGGAGAGCCTGGTCCTGGAGGTTTGGCTAGGTATCACAGATAGGATCGTGTTCACATTGAAAGCAAGACCTTGCCGTTTGTGAATAAAGAAAATAACACAGTTCTTCTTTTACAAAAGAAAAGTTAGATTCTTAAGCATTGAAAAGCACCCTTGCTCAATCCAATCCAGTCAGGGGTGTTGCTGTCTGGCATGACCAGTAACTTAGTGGCAAATCTTATGTTATGTAAGCAAACTTAACATAGGTGTGTCTTACCTGTGTAACTGGTCCTGAATCTGACCCCCAGCACTAGGGTTTGCGCTGACTTAATTCCAGTTAGTACAGCTAACTAACTGAAGGTCCATCTCCGAGCAGCTGCCCACTCTCCTCTTGGCGATGTAGTCTCAGAGCAGCCAGGTGGATGAAATGAAAATAGGACAGGTTTTCTCATTTCTGCCACTTTTGATTCAATCCAATAAGCAAATAATCAAACCAACGCGGATCCTGGCTGGATAAACTGAGGTTACCTACTCAAGACAGTATTTTGCTAGAGTAGCACGCTGTTAGCGGAGCTGGAGAGAGGCAAGGTACATGAGAGCGTGCATAACTTTCTTTGGATTTTCCCTGAAAAAAACAGCCACAGGCTGTTATAGCAAATCGAGAAAGTCGGGGAAGGTAACATTATTTTAAGTTACAATCCGTTCACACTTGGCAATACAAGGCGATAAATACATTAAAATGATTATATGTTGTACATTTGAAGTAAAACTATGCAACTTCTGCTCAACATGTGACCACAATTGATGAATATGTGTGATAGCTGTAAATGCTACGACACAGTGAAGCAGTAGCAGTTAGAGTAAAGTCATTAAGTCGACTGTCTGTTGTGCTGCTTTTGCTAACATTAGCCACCATAAGCTTCTGGTCATACCCAAGCCCACAGGAGCACCTGGCTTTGAGGCAAATTTGACATAGTGGCCGGTGAAATTACTACTTCCCGGGTCGGTCATGTGATGCCATGGGGCCCAAAAATACTTTTTTTCCCATAGATTTTACATAAACCTTCCCAGTACCAACACTTGAATATCCCTTATTTAAAACATTAGTCCAAAAAGTTTTAAAATGCACTAATAGCCGAATCCAGAGTTAATTTCCCTCCTGTGTTCATATGAACGAGAACGAGGCTAGGCCGAGGGCGGGGGGCGGGGTTAAAGGCATGCTAGTGTGCTTGCTCTGTTGGCCCATGGATGAGGAAGATTGCCAGAGGCTACAAGAATTTTCATCTGAATTCTATAATTGGATGTCGAACTTGTTCTGCTTCATGCGTCACTGAGCCACTTTTATTGGGAAATTATGTTATTTCTTCATTCAAAAGTGACATAGTCTAACTTTAAGTAAACCGCAAGTGTTATCTTTTCCCCACACAGGTAATCGGTCAGAGAGGATCCCAGTCCAGTTCTCTGAAGAGCGATACAACCCCTACAGCTGGTCAGCCAAAATCTACCCAGGCGATGTGCATCCTAAGTCGGTCAGGGTCCACATCTGCTCCCCTGTTCAGTCCTCAGTGGCTCTGTATCACCTTGTGCTGCACATAGAGACCAGGCAGAGCAGAAGGAGCTATAGGCTTGGAGAATTTGTGCTGCTCTGCAACCCTTGGCTGAAAGGTGGGTCCATGTGTTAATACCATAGACTGTATATAAGAAGTGGACGTATATATGGAAGTAACCATATTTGGACTGCGGAGGAGTGATGTAGAGATGCTGCATACGGCCCTGGAAGCAGTAACGACCTGTCAATCACAAGGTAGCCCCGCCCTAAAGCATACCGTGCTTTATGGTCTATTTTAGCCTAAATGGAACCGTAATTTACTAAATGAGCATCATGCTGTATTGAAGAAGACTTGAAACTAGAGATTGAGACCATAAACTCATGTTAACAAGGTTTACTGAGGGAATAAATCAAGAGAGAAGTAGTAATTTTCTCATAAGTCGCCCCCTGCTGGCCAGTAAAGAGAATGCAACTTTAAGTCACTTCTGCATCGGCTTCACCCTGCTATTGCCTTTCAGATGATCCAGTTTACATTCCACTGGATGTCCAAATACAAGAGTATATCAAGAGCGATTATGGGGTGGTGTACATGGGCACCCCCCATCAAAACAACAGCAGGCCCTGGTCGTTTGGTCAGGTATGCAACGCTTGGCTATCGCGAATGGATCATGTATAATCGCAGCATATTTTTTTTGCAGGTAAGCTGACAGCATAGCTACATTTCTGTTTCCATGTGTGTAGTATGAGCCTGGGGTCCTAGAGGCGTGTCTGATGCTCCTGGAGGTCAGCCCACAGCACCTCAGGGACGAAAACAAAGACTACATTCGCCGGGCAGACCCCGTCTACCTCAGCAGAGTGATATGCGCTATGGTGAGGGACAACACTCGCTGTATGTGTGATAAATATGTAAAAACGTGCACATGCATTACCTCTCATGCCAAATTCTTTACCAATATTATCAACGACATGACTGGAATGCGTTGAAGAGCAATTTCCCCTTCAGTGTCACAGTGAGGAAAGAGAGAACACTCAGTGATGTGTCCCCCCCCTGTCCAAGGTGAACTGTAACGATGACATGGGTATTTTGGACGGGAGGTGGCACGGCAGCTACGAAGATGGGGTCAATCCCACAGAGTGGAGCGGCAGCGCCGACATCCTGCACCGCTGGATCTCGTCCAACTGCAGTCCCGTGCGCTATGGACAGTGCTGGGTCTTTGCATCTGTCCTCTGCACAGGTACTTTGAATAATTAATACACAAGAGTGTATCCATGCAAAACTCATGGGTGACATTTAAGTGTTACTGAGCTGTCTCCAATACCGAGCAGTTGCCCTACACCTTATTGACGTTGAATTGCAATTACCTGCTGTTCTGTGAACTGGTTGTCTCCTCCTGTGATTAAACGGGAACATTTTGCTGAGCAGCTGGCCCGCTGCAGCGCCTCGTTGGCGGTTCTCACTCCTTCTCCAGAGGCTGACCATTAAATTAGAAGCAAAATATAATGACAGCAATTGCCCCAAAATCGCCCTGCTGGTCTTGGGGGGGTCTTTTCCAATATATCTTTGGGATCCTGAGGGTCTTTGTCCAAGTGGACTGCCCACGCTGACTCGTCATTGCAGCAGGACGATTCTGTTTCTGTTGGCATCAGAGTGCAATTGGAGCAAAGGCTCAACTAGTCGGTGTTTGTTCTCGGCTGCTCTCAGAGTCTGGGAGTTCCTCGAGCGGCCTCTCTTCGGCTGAAAATCTGAGTCAGCTAAAACACTGTAAAGAGGACACTGTAATAAAAGAAACTTGTCAATAACATTCTCTGCAAAAATTGACGATCAGATGTTTGTACAGTATGTATCACATCCCGGAACGATGAGTTAAACTACCAAGGACCACAGTGACTATTTCATTCCCCACCTCCCTGTGTAATGTTGTACAAATTGAATCTCGCTTGTTATGCAATATACACGTCTTGCCAGCTCAATTTATACTGTGCGTGAATGTTAATAAATCATATATTGTCTTTCTTTAAGGGGACGGACGGTTGACTTAGATTTCGTCAAACACATGTGTGTTAATAGATCTTGATGTGAACAGTTTTCATACAGACTATCATACAAAATCCTGGTCCATCTAGTGTTAAAGACTGAACCTTTTTTTTTTTTTTTACAGTGATGAGAGTGTTGGGGATTCCCTCCAGAGTGGTGACAGTTTTCAACGCAGCCCATGACGGCGATGGCAACCTGAAAATTCAAGAATATTACTCGACCACAGGGGAAAAGCTCAACCTGTCGAAGGACAGCGTTTGGTTGGTGTCTCTTGCTCCCAAACCACAAACATACACATTGGTCTTTCACTTGTTAATCATCAGGATGATTTGACAATTTCCATTGAAACAGAATTTTTCAAATAATTAAAAAAAAAAACGTCCCCTTAGTGTATTTGCCTGTGATCATGTTAGCTCCCTGTGCATTCGTGTCCATGTTGTGTGTGTGTAAATGTTTGTGCATCCAAACCTGTGTGTCCTCATCGCAGGAACTTCCATGTGTGGGTGGAGTGCTGGATGAGGAGGGGGGACCTCGGTGCGGAGTTTGACGGCTGGCAGGTGGTGGACCCGACCCCCCAGGAGAAGAGTGCAGGTGGTTTGCTGCCCTGCGGGGGGGGGGGGTTCAGAGGCTGTCATTTGGATAGTTGTTTACCTCGTCAGACGTACATGATCAGAACTGAACGTGACATGAATAAATTGCGTCACTCGAGGAGAAAGCACTCCTCTCACATTCACTTTGTTCTTGAGCACATGTCACAGAGCGTGGAAAATAATGTGATTGGTTTGTGAATGGTAACTAATTAGTATGTAACAAGAAACACAACACACCTTCTCCGCCGCAGGGGTATACTGGTGTGGCCCTTGCCCAGTGGTCGCCGTCCGGCAACGCTGCCTCGGCGCCCCCTATGACACGTCGTTCATCTATGCCTCTGTTGACGCCGACGTCGTAAAGCTGATCCTGCAAGGATGGAAGGAGGTGGGCAGGGAGCTGGACACGGAAAGCGTGGGACAGCTGATTTACACCAAGAGCATCGGCTCTGACGCACCAGAGAATCTGACCGGGACTTATAAGAGCAAGAAAGGTAAGACCAGAAGCAGCATGGTGTGTATTTGTGTAATGAGTCAGCGTGACACTCGTAGAGACAGTAGAAGGAGGGTGTTTTCAGTCTTTGTTCTCCACATATGTGATAACGTTTTTCTTCTCCCATTTTCTCTCCCATTTCAGGAAAGCAACCAGCAATCACTGTGAAATCGCAAAAGTGTGGTCAGTAGTTGTGATAAAGCATCTTCGCCCTCCACCCTGTGGAGAACAAAGTTTTTGTGCTAATAAGTAGCAAGCTTTGATACTGTTGCTTTTTTTCATGACAAAATCCCTCTCACTCATACAGAAACGGGGTATCTTTCCTGTTCAATGAAAAGAGAGGGTAAGCTTTCACTCTACTCACACTGTTACAAAGGCCACAGGGCGCATTTGCTGCAGGTGTTTGCCACCGACATAAGCCATGTTTTCCATTCACATATTTTCACCGCTCGTGTAGTTGTGTGTAAATGGAAAAATTCAACAAAACATCCTCAAGTGTGCAAAATAAGTTGTTACGCTCCACTGAGGTTTTTTTTTTTGCCTCTGTGGAAAAACAGTCAATGTGCTTAAATGGGCTATGGAGATTATGGAGCCCTTGCCGAGCTACTAAAAATGTATTTGCTATTAAGCCATAACATAGTTTATGCTTCCCTTTTCCGCAGGCTCTGAACGAACAACACCCGGCTCTTCATCTTCAGGAGGAATGTCAGCCGGTTTGGAGGTGTCCCTAAGCATAGATGGGGTGCCATCAGTGGGTGAGAGCATCTCCATGTGTGTGACGGTCACCAACCGGTCGAGCAGCCCAAGGCTCCTGGAGGAGCACCTCAACGCTCAGAAAAAGGAGTTCAACAGCAACCCAGAGCAGAGCTTCTGGAAATCACACAAAGAAGTGCGCATACACCCGGGCGAAGGTGAGGCGACGTGTACGGCCTCTGGCACCGTATTTGATATGATTCAATTTTCAATGCACGTTGACTTCACAATCATATTGCTGTTTGATCGACAAAACCTCGACCACATTTTCTAAACGAACACAGGGGGATTATTTGCAGCTATCGTTCCTCTCATGTTCATTCCCCCCCACATCCGGTACGTTCTCTGCAGTTCTGACGCTCCACCACACCATCCCTCCCTCCGAGTACGAGTCGGTCCTGGCTGGCGACGACATTGTGAACGTGGCGGTGGTGATCAACGACGTGAGGAAGGAAGAAAGATTCCTGGCCGCGCAGGAGTTCAGCATGAGCTCGTCACAGATAACCATAGAGGTACGGCAGCAGCCAGCCTCCCTACCCTCCAGCTCCCAAATAAATGATGCAGTGTCGTCTTTTCTGTCTTCTTTATCGGTATCTTCTGTCTCCTGTCAGTTGTGCTCGATAAGATGAAGTTATTTAAACGACAGAGCAAAGGCAGAAATTCATGTCGGAGAAGTATTCGGGCATCAATCACCCCTTTGCTATTTGGTTTGCTTTTCACACTCACTAAATCGTATCATGATGTTTATATTACATCATATACGATGCACAGCATTTGCAAAATATGTCAGTATTTAATCAATTTGTGACTACATCCGTTTTCAAAATATATAAATGGAAATATACATGGACGTAAGATGAATTGCATTATAAGCAGTATGAAACATAATAGCTGTGTTTTTTCACCTAAATGTATGACATGATATTCTCAGCATATTCAATTAATTTTTACTTACAATGGCGCTAATAAGCGGCCTCAGATATTCTCTTTTTTGAACACAATATTTAAATTCTACTTTAGTTGCATGATGAGCAAAAACGGTCATGTGTTGCCGAGCTAATAACACATCTGGATCAAACTCAGCTGACTTGTTGTCAGTATTATTGATTTGTACTTCCATCACGAGTAATTGGCAATCAGCATCTCATGAGAGTTTCCTACTTAGGTTGTGCGGCTTAAAATTAAAGTCAATTTACTTGAACACTCACAGATGTTATCAAAACAACGTTTTTCTTGAGTGAAATGTGGTAAGACATTAGAATCCCTGATCACAAGTCTTTAGCCGAGTGTAATGTTGCGCTGGGCACCCCGTCGTACTGCATTGGTGTGGTACTGGTGTAAGGATAAAAGGCATGGAGGATAAATATACTCTTATTCTTAATTTGGATCCCCATTAAGCTTCCACTACGTATTTCCCAAGTCTTCCTTTGGTCCAAACTAAATGTTTAAATAACAAAACATTTTTTTGAAATCTTTCCAATCCTGTTTTTGTTTCAGGGACTTTTTGAAAGAAATCTGCTTTTGATCTGTCTGATGTTGATGTGGAGCAAATTCCAGGCAGAAGAAGCTCTGTAGATGACAGCTCTCATCATACCATTTGGAAATAATCACAAAATGACAAATGCCATTTTGCATGAAAATCAGACGACCACATTTTAATCTAGCCTGTATATTAAACCATGGTAATCCATTCATATCGTGCACACATCTGCATGGAATGTAAACCATGAAAAACGTCTCTCGCTTTTGATGAAGTCTGATTGGGGTTTTTAGCAGCACTTGACGAAGAGCACAGGCCCCACTAGTTTCCTGTCATCCAAAACAACAGTGTTTTCTCTCTGCTGAATGCTTTCTCGTCCTGTGGAAACAAAAAAAAAACAAGAACTTCACATGAGGACAACGGAATATAGTCTGCGCGGATTTAAAACCATCTTGCATACCTCGGCACAATGGGGACCAAAGAGTAGGTGTTGAGCACCAGAGCTCTTTGTCATGTGACCAGTAGTTGTCTGTAACTGTGGCCTCTCCACAGATTGAAGGAGGGGACAGCATCCAGATGAATAAGGAGCACACAGCCCAGGTGTCCTTCATCAACACTTTTACCAAAACTCTGGATGGAGCCGTGCTGACTGTAGACGGATCGGGCCTGTTACAGGGCAAACACGAAGCCAGGTAGGTCTGCTTCAAGTTGGACCCTCAAAAATACAACAATAAATCATCTTTCTCAAGTGATACTGTTGACTGCATGGCTCTGTGGGACAAAACAATACAGATAAGAAATTGTGGAATGGTCACATTCCAGTGATGTTGCACACATCTTGTCTGTGCCGCCGATGAAAATTCCCAGACTGTGAATGCCGGCTGGGAATGCTGTTAGGTATGTTTCCACTGCAATGTTGTTGCAACCAAGTGCAGTCGGTCGTGCAGTCCTGTGGTGTAGAGTCAGACACCGTCACCCTCAGGGCTTGAATTTACTAATATGTTCATGCATCGATCCCCTTTTACTTTTTCTGCACTCATTTCAAAGTCAGAGTTACATTTTCTACTTCTGTGACATGCTCTGACATGTTTGTAACATTCCTGTTTATTTAAGAACAAATCTATTCCACTGGGTCCTCAAATTGGGCAACATGTTTAACTCTTCTGGACTCGTATTGAAGCACACCGGCTGGTTTGATTATGGCGAAGATCTCGGTTTCTTCTGTCTTTAACCCTTAGGGACCCACATAGACCCATTTTGCTGTTCTTTAGGGGAACAGGGGATCTTTAGGGCTAGATATATGCCACATGAGATACCATTTGTACAATAGATTTGGTGTCAAATTTACCACTTAAAATTGAATTCAAAATATCACATCAAGGCACCAAGACCTTGAGGAACACCGTACATTATTTTTCCTCGTCTTTGTTTGTGGACGTAAAGTTTCATGCCGCTGTGATCGTCCTAGAGGTCACAACAGGTCATTTTATAGTGACGTCTACTCGACTCACAGCATCACACATACACACAATTGAGCTCATTGGATCCACAAGAGTCTCGGCTTTCCAGCCATACAATACATACAATGTATGCAGTTCCTCATTAGGGACCTCAGTATGCAGAAATATTCAAATAAGCCATTTTTTATACCACATTGTTATACCAAAAATACCACATTTATACTGCATTTAAACAACTGCATGGGCCCATCATGAAGTGGGCATGTCCATAAATTCACATAGCTTGAGGCGAAAGATCAAGAGACCCCTCCGAAAAATGGCCAATGCCAGTTTTCCCTCGCCAACATCTTTTTGCCTAACTTGAGCTTGAACTGGAGCGTTAATCAGTTCCCTTCCCGACCCGCTAGCACAACACGGCTAGCACCAAACCACTCATTAGGTCGTCTAGTTTCATGTGGTACAGACGCGGCCTCAAAGAATGAGGAGTCGGCTGCGATCGCCGACGGTCTCAGTGTGGAAGGAGCTTGGACATTCTGTTTTCTCTAGGTTACCAGGTTTGTTGAGACTGTCGACCAGCCTCAGTGGTCAGGCTCAGTAGTTTGTGTTTACCTTCTGCCACTATGTATTGTTTGTTCAGTGCTAAATGGCATTGAAGTTTATTTAAATGTAACAAAAAACAACAACCCCGTATCAGACAAGAATCACCTCATAGTCGAAGAATTGAAAGCACTCTTATATTAAAACGCATTTTGCAATGTAGCATTAATACATTTTTCATTTGATGCAACTTTCTTTATTCCATATTTTGCTGTTGTTTTTTTTACTTTGTGGTGTGACTTATTCCCTTGTTTCCTTCCTTTGCCTCTTTAATGGCTTTAACTGGACAAACTTTATCTGTGACAGTTTTAAAAGTTTAAAACCCATCTTTTACGTCGGACCCCTGGAGTCATGGTGGCTTTTTATGGGCACGGACAATGACGCAAACGTTTCACCCCGGAGAGGAATAAGCTCGCTAATTAGAGAAACTATTCAGCAGAAGCATCTAGTTACCGTGCTAAATACTGAGACAATTAATCGGCTTTGGCATTTGCTCTTTTTTTTTTGGCTTGAGAAAGGGCAGAACGTTAGTTCTGGGTGCCAGAAAGATCTCTGCACCCGGCAAGGGTTCCGTTTAATAATTGATAGTGTTAATTAACACTCATCGCCCACACACGCGCACACACACACACAAACAGATATATTATGATCGTTTGTGCTGTGGAGCATCAAATATCTCGCCAATTGCTCATTTTAATTATTGCTGACTCAAAAAAAAAAATGATCTCCAGACTTCGTGGCTGTTCTGGAAATTCTCCATGTGGGTCTTTGTGAGAGCTGAAATGTGGAAAGATTAAGAAAGATTTTCTTTTCTCTCTCTCACTCACTCACTCACTCACTCACTGACTCACCCACCCTCACTCCCTTCCAGAATGGTTCTCCTGCAGCCAGGGGAGAAGATAGAGAAGACGGTGACCATCGTGGCCACTTTGGCCGGCACTAAACTGCTCGTGGCCACTTTCTCACACAGCAACAGCACCAAAGTCGTTTCCAGGAGCTTCCACAAAGTCTCCGTCATGGCTGCATGAGTCCATCCTCCCAAAAAGCACCAACAACAAGGAATTGATTTCTTTGCACTGACATGCAAAAAGTACACTTTTGTTTATTCTCTCAACAAAATATATATGTTGTATGTGTATGTTTTTTTGTATTTACAATGCCTATACAGTGTCTTCAGTATATATTTACTGTCTGAAGACATTGTACAAGCATTGTTTCCATTTTATTGTTTCACATATTTTGTCAAATGATTTCGACATGTCAAATTTGTGGATTCCCCCTTTACATTGCTGCATTGCCGCAACTCAATTACACCACTAGGTGGCAACATTGATGTTTCCACTTGTGTATCTGTTTCCTGTCTGAAAATCACTCTGTCACTGTTGTACTGTTGAAACCAAGAAAATCATTATGTTTGTATACTTGAATGTTTCTTTCTGTGGTTCTTTTCATCACTTTTTGTTTGGCACAGCCTGACTCCTGAGATCATAATCTGGATTATATGACGTATGATTATATTCAGGCTCAATAACAAATAAAAAAAAGTTTCTTCTCAAGCAGTGGCGAAACTAAGTGTACACGATTCTTTTTGCCCGTTTTTCTCTGCGCACCACTCGATTTATGCATTATAGACGCCAAGAAACCGATCTTCTGTAATTTATCAAATGAGTTTGACGCAAAAAAGAAAATGCAATTACTTGTCATTGAAAAAATATAGACACAAGTTACAGCTGTGAAGGTTAGAAATGGAGAGAAAGACACTTACCATCAACTCAAATTTGATTCATTTGTAGTTCTTGTTGTGAGACTTATTTCTGAACTTATAAACACAAGTACTTCTGATTTGAAGTCTTGACGTGAAATGATGAGTTAAATGAATCTGTAAACTCGTCGATGAAACATGACCAGAATATTAGGAGAAATCCCAGCATGCACTGTGAGTTGAAACTCTCCAGAGACCCTTCTGTTTGGTAGTCTAAAGCCAACATACATGAAAACGTGTTGTTCCTTTAACACACCATAAGTCATGGTTTTTTTTGTTCTTTTTCAAGGCATTTTGGGGACATGCAACAAAGGTCCCAAGGCAGGAGTCATGATAATAAAAACAATGCTGACCTCGGTGACAGCTGAATTGACTACTGCGCTATCTTCAAACACTTGTGTTATTACAGTTGCAGCAATGAATATGGTTTAAGTTCAGGGATGATCGTGGTCGTGATTTAAAAAAAAAAAAAAGAAAAAAGCCAATGTTGATTGTCGGTTGAAAACATTTTAATGACGTGCAATAATGAACTTGTCTCAAATTCGGTTGAATCAGTTGGTTTGAGATTTTTTCCTCTATTTTTCAGACCAAAAATAAGTCTCATATTCTTAAGTTTAAAGTTTTTTAAGTGCAAAAGCATTTTCTGATATAAGGGAAGCTTAATTTTTATTATACATTTTTTACAAGAAGTCTTTTGCAACGTTGACTGTCCATAGAAAACAGGAATCAAACAGCGGCCTCCCGTCATTTAAGTGACCCGCGCAATATTTAACTTGTCTCAAGTTTTGTTAAATCAGTTGGTTTAACATTTTTTTTTAACTTTTAAAATGTTAAGTTTACTCGCATTTTGTTAAGGCAGCGGAGAACGTTTTTCTTTTATTTGACCCAGCTTAGTGCAGAAGCATTTCTAATATGAGGGATGCTTCATTTTTATTATAACATTTTCCACACTAACTGCTGAGTCTTGCCTGGCGTTCAAACCACGAACAGCCATTTTGGCACCAGTGACGCACCGAAAGAGGAGCTGCTTTACTGTTGGAGTCCAAGTCATTCCGTCAGATGGCCTCTAAAACTATACTGAGTGAGCTCGCACAACGGCACTTTACTGCTCGCCCTGCACTTTCCCCAGTCAATATAATGGGCTTATAAATGGAACGATATAGACGACCTCAGCTCTGTATTTGGGCATTTAATCTCGGGTAGCTCTGAGAGGATCAGAGATTCTTTACACAGGGACCCTTTATGTCTGTACGGATGGAGCTTCTAGGCGAGGACCGTTTTGACCTAAAGGATTCCAACCTGACGTGCGCGCCGTAACAGCTTGTGATCTCACCTCGGTGTCAGGGAGATTGAAGCCGAGGCGTTGGCAGACGGAGACGATAATCAGACTCCACGCTTGCTGATTTTCAGACAAATTAAACGTCAGGGGAAAGCAGCGAGCGGGACTGCTGGGCTGCTTTGAAAAGCTGAGGCTATCATAAATTATTAATGGCTCCCCGTCACGGCCTCCCTCTCTTCATCCACTCGCTCTTTCAACCATCCTGCTCTTCATCCATCCCTCCCTTTCTCCATGTTGATCGCGTCTCTTCCTTCCTTCCTTTGTTCTTCCTCCATGGTCTCTTCCTCTGTCATTTCTCCCTTCCTCCCTCCTCTGTGCCAATCACCTCCTCTTTTCATCCCTCCTTCCTCCCCTCCCTTGTCTTCAGTCCTTATCCCCCCCTCCTCTCTGCCTTCTTTTTGACTTCACTGATTTTCATCCCTCCCATCCAGCTGCTCTTCATTACCTCTACCCTCCTTTATCTTGATTACTTTTTCCTCTTCCGCATATCCCCTCCTTCCTTTTCATCATTTTACTTCCCTCCCTCTCTTCATCCCTTCCTCCTTCTCTTTAACCCTTCTTGCTTCCTGTTTTCTCACTGTTTTTCTCCCCTGCTTTAATTTACCGCGGTTCCCATATTCTCGTCCCTCCTCCGTTTGTCATTTCTTGTGTGAAACCTCTCCTGTCGGTAGCTATAGCTAGCAAACCTTCTCACTGATTGTGCTGGAGCTACTGGAGGCCTATTTTAGAACTCTGGCCATAAGTAAAGATCCAACAATCCAGCCCGGAATCCTAGGAATTATGATTCGGGATTTATGTTCAATACTAAAGTTGAGTGCAAACCAGGCACCAACCTCCGGTTCTGCCGAGTGCCTTAAAACTTGCATTCTCTCTGCTGAGGACAACACCTCCGGTTGCAAAAAGAAGTCTGATAGAAGTCTATGAGAAAATGAGTCTACTTCTCACTTGATTTATTGCCTCAGTAAACATTGTAAACTTGAGTTTATGGTCTCAATTGCTAGTGACCAATGGGTGACGTCACGATGACTACGTCCACTTCTTATACACAGTCTATGGTGCAAACCAAGGAAGTAGTGGACCCTTTAAGTAGCAGGATGGAAAGTAAGGGTGTGTGGCTGTGGGTGGTGGACTGGCGTGAATGTTTGATTTTGATGCATGAGACAGATACTTGCCTCCTGCAATTCATCAGCAATGCCTTTTTATTTACTGTAGCCATGAGCTTTTATTACCTTCACTATAGTTGGCATGTGCAGATATTATAGAAAGTAAGACTTGTAACATGTTGGTATTGTACCCCCCCCCCCAATGAAGGTGTAGCTGATAAAAATATGGTGGCTCCATGTGCAGTAGATTTAAGTCCTCCTCCCCACTCATGCAATTGGCTGGTAAATCTGGGACCTTGCAGCCAATCACAGTCCATCTCTGGGTATATAAACTGGTCATTCCCTGCTACCTATTTGCAGCTAGACTTTCAGCATAGCTGGCCCACCCACTGATCCTGTTCCTGGTACAGGCTTACGGATGTCAGAAAGGTAGTAAGCAGACTGAAGATGTAGCTGTCCAAAACCAAATCTCTCACGACATTTATTGTCCTAAAATGAGTCTGCAATGTTAGAAATGGAATAAAAGTCGACACTTTTCGGTGTCTTAATCCGCCCCAGTAGCTGAAACGGATTTTGATGTGGTAGGTAAAAACAAACCAACAGCTTTGCACTGAGCAGAACAGCAGTCGTTGCTTCCGGGTAAGTAATCCGTCAAGTCACATCACTGCTGTGGAAAGTCAGTATTATATTACACTGCGCACAGTGCTGCTAATCTACTCAGAAGCCCGGGATGCACAAGTTTGTGAACTTCTCGCAGCAAGTCGACAAGAGAGGGAGCGGTGGGGGAGCAGATTGATAGATAGGCGTTTGATGGATTCCGGCGAACAGATGGAACAGCTGGAAAACCCTGAAGTGGCCGTCCATCCTCAAACTCGTGTGAGCAAACTGAGACAGGGTTTGTAATGAGCCTATTCACCAGATTTAGAGCTGGAGCTTCAGCCTGTAATGGTTCAAATGAAACCCCCCCCCCCCCAAAAAAAAAAGATGAATTCCATATTCTACGTGGGCAAAATGAATGGAGTCCAAATGTTATCTGAAAGTACAGACCGCCTCATTACAGCCGGTAAAATATAAGCGAATTCTAGACAAAATGTTCTGAGCTATCGCATAGGCGAGGAGATCATTTTACATAGTACTGAAATGGTCTATAACTGCTTGTAACACTCTGTCTTTTGCTTTCATTCACACACACACACACACACACACACACACACACACACACACACACACACACACACACACACACACGAGCATGCACGTCCACCAGCAACCCCAGCGAGCTGCAATAAAGGCGACGCCGATAATTATGATAATGAATCTATCTTCGGTCCGCCATCTATTTTCACCTGATAATGAGTTTGTCCCAAAGGTCACTGCTGTAATAGCTCATTAGCAGCGCTGGCTAATGCTGCTCTCTGATGTAGCCCACAATTTGCCGGAGGTGCATCGGTCAGCCGGGGCTATTTGATTGCGGTAGTGGCTGGATGGCTGCTCGACTGGCCTGTCGTTCACCATCGATCGGTGCGGGTTTCATTACCGCGGTGTTATGGCCTACATCTTGCGTGTAAGTGTGTATGTTCATGTGTGCATGAGAGACACAACAACACAACATTACACAAAACACAACAATCATAGAAAATCTGACGTGTCCTGTGGTTGACAGAAACTCGCAATGCCAACATGTTTTCTGACTACTCGGTTGCAGACAACAACATTTCAGAAGACAACATTTCAGAAAACACTAAACTTTTCAGGAAACAAAGCAAAAAAAACAACCAAAACACTTAATCACTTCAGGGCCATCGTAATTTTGGCCTTTTTCTGTTTCCTATGTGTAAGTGTGTATATTCATGAGTAAGAATGTGTGTTAGTGTGTTCTAATATGACCAATACTTACTAACCCAGCACTGCCTCATGCAGATGGATATCCCAGGTCACTGCATTTTCCCTCAGACAAAGTCTTGTTATTGCTGCCAATAGGGCATCTTAATATAAATGAATTGGCCCCAGCAGGTTCTTGCACAGACACTTGGCAGCCAACCCATATCACATTTTCTCTCTAATGCAGGCCTTATTTTTCAGCATGGGACCCATATGACAAATTCATCCTCATTCTACCGCTAATTTTGGCCATAGAAGCCAGCCAGGTCTTTTTGAGTTTTACACATATTTTATACACCAAAAACGAGGAGTTAAAATGAAATGTTGACAGTGACAATATCTTCTGTTGGGTATTACAGTTATAGTTCTGATTTTAAATGAATCATAGATTTACTGTTGCTGGATGCCTGCGGGAAAAATACAATTAGTTTCCAGTGAGATATTAATGACTGATTATAGTGACTTG